TCACTCTGTTGCCCAGGCTAGAATGCAGTGGCATGCTCACAGATCACTGCAGCCTCAACCTCCTGGGCTCAAGTGATCCTCCCACCTCAACCTCCCTAGTAGCTGGAACTATAGGCATGTACCACCACGTGCAGCTGATTTTTGTATTTTTTGTAGAGACAAGGTTTCACCATGTTGCCCAGGCTGGTCTCGAACTCCTGAGCTCAAGCAATCCTCCTGCCTCAGCCTCCCAAGTGCTGGGATTACAGGCATCAGCCACAGCACCAGGCCAAAAATTATAATATTATGAAACATCAATATCAAAGTGAGGAAAGTATTTGAAATATAGAAAACAATGGGCTAATTTCCTTTATACACTAAAATTTAACAAATCAATATGAAAAAGACTATAACCTAATAAATAACAGAATGAATATAAAATAAATGTATAACTTACCATGTATCCCTTTCATATTCTTAAACACTAAAAAGGCTGTTAATACTTAGTACAGTCAAGTATGTAGAAAAAACGCCAAAGAAGTTATAAACTATTGCCAGGCACAGTGGCTCATGCCTGCAATCCCAGCACTTTGGAGGCCAAGGCAGGAGGATCACAAGGTCAGAAGTTCAAGGCCAGCCTGACCAACAAGATGAAACCCCGTCTCTACTAAAAATGCAAAAATTCACCGGGCGTGGTGGCTCACACCTGTAATCCCAGTTACTTGGAAGGCTGAGGCAGGAGAATCGCTTGAACCTGCAAAACAGAGGTTGCAGTGAGCCAAGATCACACCACTGCACTCCAGCCTGGACTCCATCTCAAAAAAAAAAAGGAAGTCATAAACTGTTTACAGCATTTTTAGAAGGACAGTTGGTTAATATATGTCAAATTTTACATTGCAAATACCATTTAACAAAACAATGACCTTTCTAGGATTTTACCCTACACCTGCAATATATCAGTAAGAAAAGACAGCCCAACAGTATGAATAAAATACTCATAACAACAGAAATGTTAAAGGCCTAGAAACACACAAAGATTATAAACCTCACTAAAATTCACACATATGCTCATTAAACAGTAAGATACTGTCTTTTATCCATAAGAGTCACTGCTGATGAAGAGTATTAGAAATTAAATACTGTCATATAAAGGCTGGTTGACAGCTTGACCAACATAGAGAAACCCTGTTTCTACTAAAAATACAAAATTAGGTGGGCATGGTGGCATATGCCTGTAATCCCAGCCACTTGGTAGGCTGAGGCAGGAGAATCGCTTGAATCTACGAGGCAGAGGTTGTGGTGAGCCAAGATTGCACCATTAGACTCCAGCCTGGGCAACAAGAGCGAAACTCTGTCTCAAAAGAAGAAAAAAAAAAAAAAGCTGGTTGATACATAATTTGGCTGTACCTATTAAAGGTATTTGTTTCTTACTTTAACCAGCAGTTGCATTTACAGGACTCTATCCTAGTGAAATGCTTATATGTACATAAGGATGTCCAAGGCAGTCCTATTCGTAGTAGCAAAAAGCAGAAGAAAGCCCTAAAAGGCCTGGCACACTGGCTAATGCCTATAATCTCAGCACTTTAGGAGGCCAAGGCAGGTGGATCGCTTGAGCTCAGGCATTTGAGAACAGCCTGGGCAACATGGTGAAACTCCATCTCTATAGAAATAAAAAGTTAGCCAGGCATGGTAGTTCATGCCTATAGTCCCAGCTACTCAGGAGGCCGAAGTGGAAGGACTACATGAGCCCAGGAGGCAAAGGTTGCAGTGAACCGAGATCATGCCACGACACTTCAGCCTGGGCAACAGAGCAAGACCCTGTCTCTCACTCACTCTCTCTCTCTCTCTCTCTCTCTCATACACACACACACACACACACACAAAATAAAAAAGAAAGAAAGCACTAAATGTCCTGTGTTCCTGGGAACCCAAAAATGGTAGAACAGCTCTATTACCAGGTGATACTGCTTATGATAAAAATGACCTGATTGGTAAATAATCTGCATGTGGGCTGGGACTAGAGAGTGGTTAAATAAATTGCTACATCTATACTCTGGAACTGTCATGATAAAAATGGACTCACATATAAGGACACCTGGGATACTTTTGTCCAAAGGAAAAAAAGCCAATTTCAGAAAAGCATAGTAGGAGCATATTTTCTTTTCTTTTCTTGTCTTTTTTTTTTTTTTTTTTGAGACGGAGTTTCACTCTTGTTACTCAGGCTGGAGTGCAATGGCGCAATCTCGGCTCACCGCTACCTCCGCCTCCTGGGTTCAGGCAATTCTCCTGCCTCAGCCTCCCGAGTAGTTGGGATTACAGGCACGCGCCACCATGCCCAGCTAATTTTTTGTATTTTAGTAGAGACGAGGTTTCACCATGTTGACCAGGATGGTCTCGATCTCTTGACCTCGTGATCCACCCGCCTCGGCCTCCCAAAGTGCTGGGATTACAGGCATGAGCCACCGCGCCTGGCCAGGAGCATATTTTCATTAAAAACAACCCATGCAAAATTCTGTGGCTTTGTATATATGTAAAACAAAACATTTCTCAAAGGCAAACAGTTAGTAGAAGGGCTGAGACTGGGTGCATTTGTTGGAGTGCAACAGAAAGGGTGGAATGAAAATCGGCCCTGTTTTCCTGGCTTGAAAACTGGGGAAAGTAAACATCGTTTCAAATGGCATCACATTTTTTCCATATGAATTGCCAGCCTTGGCCAGGTGCAGTGGCTCACGCCTATAATCCCAGCACTTTGGGAGGCCGAGGTGGGCATATTACCTGAGGTCAGGAGTTCAAGAACAGCCTGGCCAACATGGTGATACCCTGTCTCTACTAAAAATACAAAAAATTAGCTGGGCATGGTGGCGGAACCTATAATCCCAGCTACTCAGGAGGCTGAGGCAGGAGAATCGCTTGAACCCGGGAGACAGAGGTTGCAGTGAGCCAAGATCATGCCATTGCACTCCAGCCTGGGCGACAGAGTGAAACGCCGTCATTCATTCATTCAAGAATGAATGAATGAATGAATAAATAAATAAATAAATACCCTGCCTTACCTTTTTGACTCCTTTCTACCACATTTTCTGGTCTTTTTAAAATCATTGTTCATATTACATCCTCTGTGTATTATTTGCCTTGCATGTATTTTCTCTTGGCCTCACATAGTCTTCTGACTCTACAGTTTTTAACATTTTAATACAGTCTAATCTGACAATCTTTCTCTTTACGATTTCTGGGTTTTCCTTCTTCATTAAAAATGCTTTTTCCAGGGCCGGGCGTGGTGGTTCATGCCTGTAGTCCCAGCACTTTGGGAGGCTGAGGCAGGCAGTTCAGTTGAGGTCAGGAGTTCAAGACCAGCCTGGCCAACAGGGTGAAACCCCATCTCTACTAAAAATACAAAAATTAGCCAAGCATGGTGGCGCACACCTGTAGTCTGAGCTAGTTGGGAGGCTGAGGTGGGAGAACTGCTTGAACGCGGGAGGTGGAGGTTGCAGTGAGCCAAGATCGCACCATTGCACTCCAGCCTGGGCCACAGAGGGAGACTCCATCTCAAAAAAAAAAAAAAGTTTCTTGTACTACAGAAAGTTATACATATATCCTTCTAAATTTTTACCTAATTTTTCAAATATATATTTAGGTTTTATCCAATCTAGAATTCACTAGAAGAGTCTTTGTTTCCATACAGAGATTCAACTGTGCCACCATCATTCAGTAACCACGTTTTCCACATAACTTGGCTCACAGAATCCTATATAAGCAATACAAGAAATCTAGAAGCCACAAAAGATTGTGAAATTAGACCACATTAATGAAATGTAAGTGTCCACGCCCCAAAATGAATAAGACAAGTCAAAGCAAATGAAGTATGAAAAAATATCTGTAACATATATGACAGAGATCTTATTTACTTGAGTTAACATAAAGAGCCAATATCCTGCAAACAAATTAATTCCACACCCAAGAGAAAAGGGGAAAAATGACTAGAATAAATAATTGAAATAAAGACGTACAAATGGTGGTTTAAAAAAATGAAAAGAAGACCAGGCACAGTGGCTTACACCTGTAATCTCACCACACTGGAAGGCCAAGCTGGGAGAACTGCTTGAACTCAGGCAGTGGAGAACTGCCTGGCCCACACAGTAAGACTTCAGCTCTATAAAAATTGTAAAATTAGCCAGATGTGGTGGCATGCACCCGTATTCCCAGCTACTTGGGAGGCTGAGGTAGGAGGATTGCTTGAGCCTGGGAGGTTGAGGCTACAGTGAGCCATCATCACACCACTGCACTCCAGCCTGGGCAACACAGCAAGACTCTGTCTCAAAAAACAAACAAATAGCCTAATGCAATGGCCCCCACCTGTAATCCCAGCACTTTGAGAGGCTAAGGCAGGTGGATCACCTGAGGTCAGCAGTTCGAGACCAGCCTGAGCAACATGGCGAAACCCCATCTCTACAAAACATACAAAAATTAGCCAGGTGTGGTGGCGCATGCTTGTGGTCCCAGCTACTCAGGAGACTGAGGCAGGAGGATCACCTGAGCCTAGGAGGTCAAAGCTGCAGTGAGCTGTGATTATGCCACTGTACTGTAGCCTGGGTGACAGAGTGAGACCCTGTCTCCAAAAAACAAACAAAAAATATCAAAAGACACCAAATTCAGCAAATGTGAATTAAAATGCACTTCTCCTATAGCACATCATGGCAAAAATCAAAGCACTGGATAATGCACTCTGATTGCCCATTTATGGGAAAAGGCATATAGTGCTGCTAGGAGCACATATCAGTATATTCTATTTGGAGGGCAATTTGACAGTTCTTAATCAAAATTCATGATGTACATAAAGCTGACCTAGAAATCTCACATCTGGCATACTCACATGCAGGCAACAGAATGTACTGTACATTGCTATGCTGTTTATAGCAGGAAAAGACTAGAAATACCACCTACGCAACTGTCTTGCATGCTCTGCTTATGTACCCCAAAACCTAAAATGCAATAAAAAATTTAAAAAAAAAGACTAGAAATACCTTAAATGTTTTTGTTTTCATTGACCATTGGTGATCACTGAAATGTTCATCACTAGGAGAAAGGTAAATAAATATTAGCATCTCCATGCAATGAAATACCAAGCAGCTGCTTTTGCAAATGAGGTAGATGACTGGTTTAAACATTGGATAATTCTGTCCCCTAGGGGATATATGGCAATGACTAGAGACACTTTGGTTGCCAAAACTTGGAGAGGGATTCTACCAGCACCTAGTAGAGATAGAGAGAGATGAGGGACCCTGCTACACATACAATGCACAGGAAAGCAGCGACAACAAATTATGGTCGGAATCACAATGACAATAGTGCCACACTGAGAAACCCTAGGGACAACCAAATACAAGTAAAGTGGAATGATCATGAAGACAAGACCAAAAGGACCACAATGAGCTCGAATTTGTTAGAGAAAAGGAGTGTGAGAGTGAGAGCTAGCACTTACAGGAGTGAGCAGAAAAAGAGATTCATACATCCAGACAGATAAGCATATATATTCTCTGAAAAACTGTACCAAAAAATGAAGGCATCTTGAGGATGGGAGAATTATTTTTTTGCCTTTTCTTGAACAAAGCTTTCATTTAAATTTTTATCATGTGTATGCATTACTTTTAAATGTTCAATTTATTAGTGCTCTATTCAGAATACTTTTTAAATTTTGACATCCATATTCTTAAGGGAAACTGGTCTGTAATTTTCTTTTTTGTAGTATCTTCCTCAAACTTCAGGTTAAGTGGCTTCCCAAAATGAATTGGGTGCCTTTTCATCTTTAATAGACTGGAAAAGTGGAACACAGAAATTATCTGGTCTTTACATTTAGTGAAAGGAGTAATTATAAAGGATTTCAGAGGGCAAATTTAAGTCTCAGCACCTTTTAGTCAAAACTTGACTTCCAGGTATAACCTCCATAAACACTGGTACTACAGAGCAAGCAGATACAGAGAAAGTTGTTTATGAGGCACAGTTTACAATAATAAAAAGAAATTAGGCCGGGTGCAGTGGCTCACACCTGTAATCCCAGCAGTTTGGGAAGCCGAGGCGGGCAGATCACCTGAGGTCAGGAATTTGAGACCAGCCTGGCCAATATGGTGAAATCCTGTCTCTACTAAAAATACAAAAATTAGCCTAGTGTGGTGGCATCTGCCTGTAATCTCAGCAACTTGGGAGGCTGAGACAGGAGAATCACTTGAACCCGGGAGGCAGAGGTTGCAGTGAGCCGAGATCACACCACTGCACTCCAGCCTGGGCAACAAGAGCAAAACTCTGTCTCAAAAAATAAATAAATAAAAGGAAAAGAAAGTAAAAACCTAAATACCTGTGAATAGAAAAATAGTTACATGATACATCCATACTATGAAATAGGAATTAAAACAGTCTTTATATATTGACAAGGAACACCACCCAGGATATAATCAGGTGCAAAAAGCAAGATGGGTATGGGAGTACGATGCCATTTGTGTAAAAGCTTAAAAAAATACATATGTGTATATTTTTAGTTCATTAAACTGACAATAAATACATCTACCCCCACAGTTTCACCCAACTGTTAACAGTGGGCATCTCTCAGGAGGAACATGGTACTGGGGGGAGAAGAAATCGAAACTTTATTGGCTACTTGTTTCTTCTATGCACATTAAAACATTATACACAAACTTATTCTCTTAAACACAGTAAAAAAAGACCAAGTGATCTAGAAGTGAAGAAAGGGGAAAAAGCAAGATGAATCTATGTATTTAAACAACCTTCTCTGAGGAGAAAAAGAAAAGATGAGGTACAGTTCCCGGAAGAACAAGTAGAGAGAGGTATCTTTTTCTGTTTTTCCTCTCTCCTGGTTGAGGCTGAGGAGAAGTTGAACAGAAAACAGCCAGAGAAGAGGGGATAATTGGTATTTTCAAGTTTATTATATAGATTCCAAACCCTGCCTCAATTTCACTGGAAAAAAACTAGGGGTACATTAGAACTCACCTGGGATGTGGCCATTCTGTTGTGCTCCTCCAAAGGATGGAGATCTACAAAGGCAGAATTAGAAGTGTTGAGTTCAGTGGGTATAGACATAAGACCATCACCACCACCCTAATAATTACCTTTGCACCCTGGGAAGAACGATCTAAAAATAAGGCCTGGTAGCTTCCGCCTATTCCCATGGGATGCTACTAAGATCATGTGGGTCTTGCACATGAAATTTTGTCTCCCTTACTGGACAGATTTATGACCTTGTATCCAAAGCCATGTCAGAAACCAGTAACAACTTAACATCTCCTTTATCTCAAGAATTCTATTCCTAGCACAAAGATGCCAAATGTTCACTGTTGTCATTTCCACTATGAAAACTCCACCTATAATCCCTGCATACTGGGAGGCTGAAGGAGGACTGATTGAAGCCAGGAGTTCAAGACCAGCCTGGGCAACACAGCAAGGCCTTGTCGTTACAAAACTAAAAATTAAATTAAAATATTAGCTGGCATGGTGGTGCATGCCTGTAGTCCCAGCTACTCAGAAGGCTGAGGTAGGAGGGTCTCTTGAGCCCAGGAGTGCAAGGTTACAGTGAGCCACGATCACATCCCTGAACTCCACCCTGTGTGATGAAGTCAAAGCCCAGCTCAAAAATAAACAAAAAGTAAAAAAAACTTGGAAGCAACTAAATGTGCAGCAAAGGGGACTCAGTATAAAATATGACACATGCCAAACAAGCATACTACACAGGCTTTAAAGATGCTTTCTGAACTCTGTTTTCAGTTCCTAGGTGTTTAACAGGAGGTTCCAAGAAAGCAGCAGCACTGGGATCTCATTTTTGTTAAGCAACATGTACAAATATGATGTTTCAAACAGATTTATTCTTTTTTCTTGGAGATGTAGTTTTGCTCTTGTTGTCCAGGCTGGAGTGCAGTGGCACGATCTCAGTTCACTACAACCTCCACCTCCTAGGTTCAAGCAATTCTCCTGCCTCAGCCTCCCAATTAGCTGGGATTACAGGCATGCACCACCACGCCCAACTAATTTTTTTGTACTTTTAGTAGAGACGGGGTTTCACCATGTTGGTCACTTGACGTCCAGAGGTCTTGAACTCCCGACCTCAGGTGATCCATCCACCCCAGCCTCCCAAAGTGCTGGGATTACAGGCCTGAGCCACCACATCTGGCCTCAAAACAGCATTTATTCAAATGCTCACATTGGTTACCTTGATTGATTTCAATTTTCTTGTTTATTTGCATTTTTGATAACAAATATCAATTACTAATGAAACAAAAATTAAAAATTATTAAAAATCACCTCTTATCAAACCGATTCCTAGAGGTGAAAAGACCCTCTGCAAGTGTGTATGAGTAGGATCTCTGGATGTGGTTTGGAGGAAGAGCCCAACCAGGGCTAAGAGGGCTGCAAGGGGGGTGCGGTGCGGGGGTGGGTGGGTAGCAGCCCAGCAGCTTCAGTTCTGTGAGGGGCTGAAAACCACTGTGCCTGCTCCCCTGCATCTGCCTCTCTAACTGGCCACCTACCCTGTTCCCACCCCACCACTTCCTCCTTTCTCATAATCTGTGTTTTGATTGCCAGGCTCCTTCTTTGGCAGTTTTTCAAAAGAAAGTTCCAACAAGGAGCTTCTGTGCAGAGTAACCGTTTCATACTGCAGCAATCACTGCGACAGCATCAGGACAACAGGGTTCAGCTCCGTGTAGGTTAACAGGTCATGTCTTCAGATCCAGTTTCATTAAGCATCGAAATAAGGCAGCAGAGCTGGATGACAGCATACCTAGAGACTACTCTGAAATTCTTTTTTTTTTTTTTAAACACTTTCGCTCTTGTTACCCAGGCTGGAGTGCAATGGCGCAATCTCGGCTCACTGCAACCTCTGCCTTCTGGGTTCAGGCAATTCTCTTGCCTCAGCCTCCCGAGTAGCTGGGATTACAGGCACACGCCACCATGCCCAGCTAATTTTTTGTATTTTTTTTAGTAGAGACGGGGTTTCACCATGTTGACCAGGATGGTCTCGATCTCTTGACCTCGTGATCCACCCGTCTTGGCCTCCCAAAGTGCTGGGACTACAGGCTTGAGCCACCACGCCAGGCACTACTCTGAAATTCTATCAACTAAAAATATATTTTCTGCACTTTGGTCAGGTTGGAGGGAGACTCAGCATTTCCTCTGGAAGCAGGCGTTTTATTGATGGTGTGGGGCCAACTCAAATTTGGAAATAGCCAATGGCAAGAGAATAGGTGTGCTAGCAGAGGCCAAGTCCTCTGTGGCTGGCTGTGATCCTTCCCAGCCTTATCCTGCCTTTGCAGGTACCACAGCAGGGCACCTGCCCCATGGGGGGCATCCATGCCTCCATCCACCTGTGACTCTCACCTGTCCCTCCTCCAGCAGAAATCAAACTGCACTGTCACATGGTCCTCAATGGCACCTGGAAGTTGAGCCAGCTTTGCTCTGTCTCAGCTAAAGGGAGGGACAAGGCTACTATGGGTCCAGCTCTTCTAAGACCTGCTGTATTGTGAGTTTCCTTTCTCTGCCCTGAGGATCTAGGTCTGGGATCTGGCTGAGGCTTCTCCTCCAACTTGCCTCAGCTCAGCATACCTCTCTTGTGTTCAAGGAGGCAGGACCAAGGGATTCAGAGACAAACACACCCCAGCTGAGACCATCACTGTAGCACCAGATCTCTTCCTGTGACCCAGGGAACTCACCTCCTCCTGGGGCCTCAGCCTAGGTCTTCTGAGACTAAGTGAGGAAGCCGGGGCACAGATAAACTGGAGTCTGGAGTCGTGAGCAGCGGTCTCAGGTCTGCACTGTGACCCTGAAAACACAATGACCACAGGAGAGTCAATTAGCAACACCTATGCTCCGTTCATGCAGTGAAGTTGGGTAAAACCCAAAGATTTTTACGCAACAGAGGGACAATGTCTCATTCTAGCTTTAAGGGTTAACATTCATGCACAGCTCAATTATCCTCAGTGAGCGAAACCCTGCCTTTCTGAGTCCGGGCTTTAGAACCAACTGATTGCCTGCTGTGACACTTTTATTCATCGAAGGAATGAGTGCCTTCCATGTGCCTGTTCTCCGTGTTGGAAATCCATCAATGAACAAAATCTCAAAATCCCAGCTCCAGATTTCTAGTCTGGCAGAAGAGACACATAGGAAACAATAAACATGATAAACAAAGTACAGGAAAAGAAAAGGAGAAAGGATCCCTAGGGTTTGCTACCTACGTGACTTCGGACAGGTTGCCGAGCCACACCGTGTCGTTTTCTCTCTATAACATGAAAATAATCATCGTAACACCTCACAGGGTTCCTGTGAAGGTTAATGTGAAACATCTGTAAGAGTGCCTGGCCGTTACTAGGCGGTGAGGATACAAGCGCTGAGTGACTCAGTTAGTCAGTAGCTGGCCCTGAACCTAGCCCCCAGCACTCGCGCCCACCGCCAGTGTCACTCAGCCCCCACAAGGGCGCTCACCCGTGGCCCCGTGACCCCACGGCCCCGTAAACCCCTGTCATTGCTTCCGCCCCGCGATCAAAACCATCACCATCTCCCCGTCCCGCTTACTTCAGCGCGGAGAGGGACGGACGACAGCAACCAGTGTGAACGAAACGCCAGCCTCCGGGTCAGCCGAGCACTTCCGCTTCCCACCGCTCCCTGGGAACTTGAGGTCAAAGCAATGCGCACGCGCAGTGGCTTGGAGGCGGGACAACACGGCCTTTAGCAGATAGGGCGCTCCTCAGGGCGGGAGCTTCAGTGGTTTTGACAGTGTCCGCTCTAAGGGGAGAAGGAGCGTGTGACCATTTCCAGCAGTGAGTCGTACAAAAGGCCCGGGGCGGCGTACCTGGGAGACAGGGCGGCGAGAGGCGAGCGAACTCCTCGCGGGCGTTCCAGCGGCCAGGCTCCTGCCGGGTCGGAAGCCGAAATCCCTTCTTCCACTTCATTCTCTTGCAGTGGACGTGGGGTGTTCCCACCCCTCTGTCGCCAAGGCCACTGTTTCTGCCTTCCGCTCCTGGGAATAGGAAAAAGAGTTGCGCCTCTGGCATCAGTGGCATCTTCTGAGCGCGGCCCTGTAGGGTCCAGGCAGGCCACACGGAGCGGGAGCCTCGGCCTGGCCCACAGCGTCCTAAGAGCAAGGGGTCTGGCTCAGTCGGGGAAGTGACCTGGAAGAGGGGCTTTGGAACCGGGCTGCAGAGCCAGCAACCTCCCGGAGTGAGGGAAGAAAGCCTCATTTTGGTTGTTCTCTACCCAGTGGAGCGGGTCCGATTCCTAGGATCTTAGACACCCTGGTTTTTACTTTTTAGCGGAGAGGTGCTTTTGCCAGCCAGTGACAACATGGCCTGCTGAGGAAAGTTCTGTTCCCTGTCTGGGTCTGGGAGAAAGAGACCAAGTGTGTTCTCCATGCTTACTATGCCTGCCTGGTCACCAAGCAGGCCTCCTTGGGTCAAGTATGGCAGAGTCTCCCTCAGGTACACAGCAAACCTTTCTGTGCTGGAGCCAGCTGGTGCCAGACACTGTTCATAGATGTGTCCAAGACATTTGTGGAATCTATCAGATACATATTTAATTTCCATTTAAACATGGGTCTTTTTCCTCTTTCTCTTCTCAGTTTAACTTGTGTTCCCCAGATAAGTTTGGATGAGTTACAGCCCAAATCTGCAAACTCAATACAGCCAAATCCTGGGAAGTAATCCTGTCCAATCATCCTGTACAAGTCCCAGGAAAAGAGCCTGTTGTCCCTTGGACATGTGAGCAGTGAATTACCACTCATTCAGAATTTCATGTGCATCTGTTACTCAAGGCCAGGTTTAGAGATACCAACCTATTTATTTCTAGAGGAGAGGTGATCTGATAACCTCTTCAGACATCGCTATCACTAGGCAGGAAAGGGTTAATGGTATGACAGTGTCCTGAGGACAGTAGAGAAACTGCAAACTGCAGAAGCACCTAGTCGGTGGCCCTGGCCAGCATCTCTCCATATCCTGATTCTGTAAGACCAAGTGTTCCTGCAAAAAGAGAAGGGACTGGTGTTTTAGATGTGACCAGATGTAGGGCACACTCTTATTGCCATGCCAGTATTTGCTATTCATGATGTTAGTGAGGAGGGAGACCCAGGCATTTGGGATTCCCTCCCCCTCTGTCATTCACTGTGTATCTCAATAGAAGAGAGAGCAGTCCAGCTGGCGCCTCCTGAAACTCTTTCCTGAAAACAACAGGCTAGGCCTTGGGGAAACTCTCCAGAAGGCACTATTTTTACTTAAAACAAGATCAAACCAGAAACCTTTTCACATGTGAGTCCTAGAACTGTAAACCGGAGCCCTTTCATATGTGATTCCTGAAACTGTAAACAGAGACCTTTTCACATGTGAGTCCTAAAACTAGAAACAGATACCTTTTCACATGTGAGTCCTAAAACTATGGACCTAAGATTCTTCCACGTGTAACATCTAAAGTATAAGCCTATATAAAGGCTGAACCTCCCTTTGTTAGACAAGCTTGGCTGTTAGGCACCTATGCCACCTTGCTCCCAGCTGAAATGAAGTCCTTCCTCCTGTATTCGGTGTCCGGTGTCAGAAAGATCCTTTCCCGCGGCAGCTCCTGCTACATTTGTATTCAAAAATCAAGAAACACTCTGCCTGGGCCATTGGTGTCTACTAATCCATTGGAAGAGAAGACTGGAATCCACCATTTACTAGCTTCTTAGGCCTCAGTCTCCTCTTTTCTGCCATAGCTGAGGACCACCTATCCTAGACGGCTGCTGTTACTGTTCAAAGAAACATCTTTAGAGCCTCAGCCCAGGAATAGCCCATGGCAGGCACCTGGTAAATGTTGGTTTTCACTGTCCTCTCCCAACACTGTGAAACGTGCAGCACTCTCTGCTACTGCCCTTGTAGATTTCCACAGGCAGGAGAGTATCCAGTGTTGAGTGGAGCTGGTATTCTCGGAAACGAAGCCCCGTTCCTCATTTTGTGCCAATCTCTTCAGTCATTTTTATCCTAGTAGTATAGCGCTTTGTCAAAGTCACTGTTATCTAATGTTAACAGTTGTTTTTGCCAGATGACTTTTCAAAAGGTAACTTTACCATAATACCAGTTAATGTGATAAGAACATTGCATGTAGCCAAATATTTTTTTTTTTTTAGTTTTTCCTCTTGTTGCCCAGGCTAGAGTATAGTGGTGGGATCTTGCCTCACTGCAACCTCTGCCTCCCGGGTTCAAGTGATTCTCTTGCCTCAGCCTCCCAAGTGGCTGGAATTACAGGCACACACCACCACACCCGGCTAATTTTTTTTGTATTTTTAGTAGAGACAGGGTTTTACTATATGTTGGCCAGGCTGGTCTCGAACTCCTGACCTCAGGTGATCTGCCTGCCTCAGCCTCCCAAAGTGTTGAGATTATAGGTGTGAGCCACCGCGCCCAGCCAAATATTGTCTTCTTTATTTATTTTAGAGACAGGATGCCATTTTGTTGCCCAGACTGGAATGCAGTGGCTATATATAGGTGTGATCATAGCATACCATAGCCTGGGCTTAGAGGACCCTGCCACCTTAGCCTCCTGAGTAGCTGGGACAAGCGTGCACCACCATGCCTGGCTAATTTTTAAATTTTTTGTAGAGATAGAGTCTGGCTATGTTGCCCATCCTGGTCTAGAATTCCTGGACTCAAGTCCTCTTCCTGTCCTCAGCCTTCCAGTGTCAGGATTACAGGGTGAGCCACACACCCAGCCAGTGTGAATTTTCTAATGCTGAGTATGTTGTGATCCAAAAGTAAATGTATCTATAAGCTGATTTAAATTGTAGATTTTCTCTTCATTGTGTATTTTCTGATGTTGAATAAAGTCTGAATATTAACCAAAGTTTTCCCTTTTTCTTAAATATGTAGGAATTATCCTCAAAATCTCTACAGTAAAAATATTTTTACATACATTGTATTTCAAGGGTTTTTATTCTGCATAAGCAACCTTGTTTTATTGTGACTAAATTTATTTGGGAGTTTTATCATATATATAATACTGAGATGTTCTAATTCCTTTTGTGAAAATGCTCGTTTAAAAACCACTGCCTTCAAATGAAAACCATTAGGTTTGTTACATGTGCCTCCTCTTTTCTCCATGTTTTCCTTTCATTTTAAAAAAATACATGTCTTTATTTTTTTATACCTAAAACAGTGGGTTTTTAAAATGTGATATATGTATGCATTGTGTAATCATTACCACAATCGACTAATACATCCATCACCACCCATACTGTACCTTAGATCTACAGAACTTGTTCATCTTAGAATGTTTTTACCTTTTAGGTCAGACGTTGTGGCTCACGCCTGTAATCCTAGCACTTTGGGAGGCCAAGGCCGTTGGATTGGCAGAGCTCAGGAGTTCAAGACCAGCCTGGGCAACATGGTGAAACCCTGTCTCCACTAAAAAATACAAAAAATTAACCAGGCATGCTGGCACATACCTGTAGTCCCAGCTACTCGGGAGGCTGAGGCACGAGAATCATTTGAACCCAAGAGGCACAGGTTGCAGTGAGCTGAGATTGCACCACTGCACTCCAGCCTGGGCGACAGAGCAAGACTCTGTCTCTAACAAGACAACAAAAAAGAATGGTTTTACTTTTTGACCAACATCGTCCCATTTCCTGCCTCACACCCCTGCATCCCCATTTCTTGGTAACCACTGTTCTACTCTCTGTTTCTATGAGTTCAACTTTTTTAGATTTCACCTTTAAGTGAGATCATGCAGTATTTGTCATTCTGTGCCTAGTTTATTTCCTTTAGCATACTATCTTCCAGGTTCCTTTTTCCCTCAATGTCTCGAGTCCACCTTTGCATTATCACTTCCTTTTCTGGAATGAAAATGGTATTGTGGCTATTAGGCATTCTATCCTAGCTAGATACCAAGTATGGGCTTTGTAGTATCTGGATTAGCTGTAACGTACATGTGAATGATGACTACTGAAATATATATAGTAGGAAAATTGATGCACTTCAAAAAGCAAGAACACAACTACAAATAAGCCTAAGAAGGTTGGACATCATCTATATAAAGGAAAATAAACTCTACTCCTCAGTGAAGACTTAATACTGTAAAACCCAGATTGTCCCTAAACCTAATCCATAGATTTAAGGCAGTTTAACCAGTATGCTAAATGGGATCAGGGGCCTATAGTACAATGATTCATTTTAATTGGCAGAAAAAAATACATGAACCATGAAGAGTATTTGGTGGATAGAGGTAACATGGGAAAACTCATCTTACAAGATACTAGAGGGCATTATAAACTAAAGTAAATCCTGTGGCATAGAGCAGAATTAAAGAGATCACTGAAACTGAAAAAATCCAGAATGGGAATATATGGAATGTGGAGTCCTGATAATCAAGCAACAAGAAGGATGGGGTCCCAGGTGAGAGAGAACAATTGTTCTACAGATGGCTAATCGCAAACCTGCTGGCACATATCCTGTTCCTGAATACCTCCTTCTGCAGGTAGCCTCTCCAGCACAACCTTATAAAACTTCCCTCCAGCCCCTGCTGTAGCAGGAGCGGCTGCGGGAAAGGATCTCTCCGACACCGAATACAGGAGGAAGGAATTCATTTCAGCTGGGAGCAAGGTGGCATAGGTGCCTAACAGCCAAGCTTGTCTAACAAAGGGAGGTTCAGCCTTTATATAGGCTTATACTTTAGATGTTACACGTGGAAGAACCTTAGGTTCATAGTTTTAGGACTCACATGTGAAAAGGTTTTAGTTTACAGTTTTGGGAATTACATATGAAAGGGTTCCGGTTTACAGTTTTAGGACTCACATGTGAAAAGGTTTCTGGGTTGATCTTGTTTTAAGTAAAAATAGTGCCTTCTGGAGAGTTTCCCCAAGGCCTAGCCTGTTATTTTCAGGAAAAAGCGGAGCAAGGAGGAGCCAGCTGGCCTGCTCTCTCTTCTATTGAGATGCACAGTGAATGACAGAGGGGGAGGGAATCCCAAATGCCTGGGTCTCCCTCCTCACTGCCTCTATGCAGATAGCCCCTTCTCTGCTGTGCTACCCATTGAACCCTTGCAACTTATCTTCGTACTTTCTCTGATAAATCTGCCTTTCTTTACCTATGACTGTTTTGGTAAAATTCCTTTACGGTCTACACCAGTCGCACCCAGGACATGGAAGACTAAATGTCTGAAGTTTAGCTTTAAAAGTGTGAAAAAATAAGTTGAGCGGGGCCAGGCATGGTGGTTCACGCCTATAATCCCAACACTTTGGGAGGCTGAGGTGGGAGGACGGCTTGAACCTAGGAATTTAAGACCAGCCTGGGCAACGTACTAAGACCTCATCTCAACCAAAAAAAAATCTAGGCATCTTGGTGTGTGCCTGTAGTCCCAGCTACTTGGGCAGCTGAGGTGGGAGAGTCACTTGAGCCCCAGAAGTTGAGGCTGCAGTGAGGCATGATCATGCCGTTGCACTCCAGCCTGGGAAATAGGGTGAGACCCTGCTGCAAAAAAAATTAGAAACCAGGACGGGCGCGGTGGCTCACGCCTGTAATCCCAGCACTTTGGGAGGCCGAGGCAGGCGGATCATGAGGTCAAGAGATCGAGACCATCCTGGCCATGGTGAAACTCTGTCTCTACTAAAAATATAAAAATTAGCCGGGCGTGGTGGCACGCGCCTGTGGTCCCAGCTACTTGGGAGGCTGAGGCGGAAGAATCGCTTGAACCCAGGTGGAGGTTGCAGTGAGCCGAGATTGCGCCACTGCACTCCAGCCTGGTGACAGAGTAAGACTCCGTCTCAAAAAAAAAAAATTATAAACCTACTTAATGCTAAGTTATAATGGTTGACAAAAATGTCAGTAGAAGGCAGAATTCCAATGTATTTCCATGTATGTGTGGAAAATAATATAAAGGTGTTGTTTTAAGTTTGTGAAAACTGATAGGGTTGATGTGGTGTAAGGAAAAAAATCCTGGACACCTACATATTATATATAATGACAAACTCCAAGTGATTTAAAATTAAATGTGAGAATAAAATAAAAAATCCAGGGGCTGGACATGGTGGCTCATGCCTGTAATCCCAGCATTTTGGAAGGCTGAGGCAGGTGGATCATGAGGTCAGGAGATCAAGACCATCCTCACCAATATAGTGAAACCCTGTCTCTACTAAAAATACAAAAATTAGCTGGCCGTGGTGGCATGCACCTGTAGTCCCAGCTACTCAGGAGGCTGAGGCAGGAGAATCGCTTGCACCTGGGAGGTGGAGTTTTCAGTGAGCTGAGATCACGCCACTGCACTCCAGCCTGGCAAAAGAGCGAGACTCCATCTCAAAAAAAAAAAAAATGTATACACACACACACACACACACACACACACACACACGCAGGAATATTATATAACATCATAGTGGAGCATAAACCAAAAGGACAACCCTGAAGCCATAAAGTAAATCCTAGACCTCATTAAAAAAGTATGTGTGTATGTGTGTATAATTATTTATATTTTCTTTTTGGAGACAGAGTGTTACTCTGTCACCCAGGTTGGATTGCAGTGGCATGATCTCAGCGCACTGCAACCTCCACCTCCCAGGTTCAAGCAATTCTCGTGCCTCAGCCTCCCGAGTAGCTGGGACCACAGGTGCATGCCACCACACCCAGCTAATTTTTTTTTTTTTTGGTAGAGATGGGATTTTACCATGTTGCCCAGGCTTGTTTTGAACTCCTGAGCTCAGGCAATTCACCCACCTCGGCCTCTCAAAGTGCTAGGATTATAGGCATAAGCCACTGCACCTGGCCCATTAGAAAATTTTTTGAATCCACAAGATAATATATGTGACGATGGAAAAAACAAATTCTGCCAAAATATATTTGAAGATGTTTATTCTGAGCCAATATGAATCTCAGAGGTGATGAGAAAGTGTGCCCCAGGCAGTCAGGTTAGTTTGGTTTTATGCATTTCGGGAACATAGGAATTGCAGGTAAAATAATAAATCAGTGCATGGAAGGTGTGACATGGTAAAAGCCCCATAAAACTGCATACCTTAACCATACCTTGGCTTTCTGTTGAAACTGCTCTCTATAACCCAAATGCGAATAAGTAACTAAGGACTGTAATTTCCACCCTACCCAAATAATGTGTAAAAATTGCTAATCTTGACTTTTGTGAACCACTTAAGTAACAATCAGAATGTCAAAAAGTCCCCTGGCCCTCGGAGAGTCCAGAGCCCCTCACCTTCATCTTCACCCAAGAATCCACTGGAATGTCTGGAGCCCCCCACCCTCATCTTTGCCCAGGAGGTGATTTACAGAATCCACTGGCCCTCAGAATGTCTGAAGCCCCCCCACCCCTGCCCCTCACCCTCACTCCCGAGGTGGTTTTACGGGTATAAAAGGTCTTGACACCCTCCTTTCGGGGCCACGGGTTGGAGAGACGTGAGTCCTCCGTGGCCACCGGCAATAAAGACCCTGCAATTTGGCATACTTTTGTCTTGGTGTTGACTTTCTATGCTCTGGCCGGTACAACAAAGGTATACATTTGTTCAGCCTGAAAAGGTGGAACATCTTGAAGGGAGAGCTTGGAAGTCATAGATGGGTTTTAGGTATTTTTTTTTTTTTGAGATGGAGTTTTGCTTTTTTTGCCCAGGCTGGAGTGCAGTGGCCCAATCTCGGCTCACTGCATCCTTCACCTCTGGGGTTCAAGCGATTCTCCTGCTTCAGCCTCCTGAGTAGCTGGGATTACAGGCATGCGCCAACACACCTGGCTAATTTTGTATTTTTAGTAGAGGCAGGGTTTCTCCATGTTGGTCAGGCTGGTCTCAAACTCCTGACCTCAGGTGATCCCCCCCGCAACCCTCGGCCTCCCAAAGTGCTAAGATTACAGGCATGAGCCACTGTGCTGGTTTTAGGTATTTTTTAGATGACAATTGGTTGAGAGAGTTAAGCTGTTGTCTGG